ATCAATTTTTATAGAGGCAGACAGGTTGCTGCTTGTAGCCACAGGAGACACCAGCTCCCATTTCAAAACCTGACTGCAACTGGAGGCTCTGCTCACTGAAAGCATCACCAGTACAGAACACAAGGCCCACAGCAAGTCTCTACTGCAGCATTCTCAAATGACCTGGCCTACCAAGAGACCTGGGTCACATTACCACTACTCTAAGTCAGGAGAAATTCCTACCTTCCTTCACTACACCTTTCAGCCTCCTCTGAGAGGGAGGAGCTCTGTTTGCCCATGATTCTGAAAGCACTAAAGCCAGCAACAAACTCTGGATGCTGAGCTGAAGGAAACAAGAGTAGCAAAGTATGTTTCCAACACTTGATATTTGAAATGCTTATGAAATTTGGAAAAGATTTACAGAGGAAAATATTTGCTTCTATATGTGACTGAGATGATCCAGACACTCAGTTATGATAAATGCCATAAGACTTTTACAGTCTTTTGGTCTTAATACAGTTATTTCTGTATTAGCACCTAAAATTCTGTCAAGAGGCATAGAGTGCTTTATATATTCTCTTAAAAGCTTAAGCTCCTGGATAACTGAAAACTCAATGTAAAGGTTATTTCTATAAAACAAAAAGTTTGGTAAGTGATCTGAATATAACCTAAAAGTTCAGCAGTCAGAAGACAATCAACTAAAAAAAATATTAAATATCATATTTACCTTTATATTAATGATTTTCAAGATAGTTTCAAACTACACCCAAAGACAAACTGCTTTTCAATTATTTAGACTAAGACTCCCATGTCTGTAAATGTATGCTTGTAAACAGCTTACAGACTTTCACACTTGCTTCTCTCAAGACAGTCTGGATTAGTTATTGGTCACAAGGCAGCACCTGGTGTTGAAAAAAACCAGCCAAAACTAAACCAAAACCTCGTGTAACATTCTCCTACACACTGTACACTGAAGAACTTCTCTTTACCTCTTTTAAAGGGTAGTCACAATGGTGGGAGCCTGGGAGCCTTGCCAAAGGGGACTGAACTTGGACATCCTCTGACTTGGTGTTTGTTTTCTTCTTTGGTATACGAAACTGAAAATAGATGTTACACATGGTAAAACTAAATTATCCACTGGTGCTATGAGCTGACATACCTCCATGTACAATGTTGTATTAACTGGGCAAAACAAAGTTGTAAGGGAAACCCTGACTTGTGACTTTTCTTCAAATGCATTCCTCATTAATGCCTGATCCCAAATCATGTGTCATACCACATGATGAGCTAGTTTTAACACATGAAACCATCTGAAAAAGTTCTATTTCATCAACTTCACATATTCCAAGGCAACAAAAAGGTGACAACCAATCCACTGGCACTGTCTTCTTGGCTCCTTCTCATTTGTTTACACTCCAGTTTAATTGTCTCAGCTTAGAGAATGATAAAGAGAAAACTAAATAGCTGAATGTCATGACCAGGTTTGCCTTCTCAAAAGAAAAAAATTTAGTATGAAGAACAATTACATCTTATAATAGTACAAGTCTTTTGGTATGATAATTTAGCATCAGACTTTAATGTTCTCAAAATGGTATCAGCTATTGTCATTGCCAGCTCCCACAGAAATGGACAGAGCATTTTGAAAATAATTATTGAAAGAGAAAGCAGTTAATAATTCACATGAATTCACCAGTTCAGAAAAAAAAATATATGTAGGAAAGAAAGTTTGTTCGTTGAAAATCAAAAAAATAACCAAACTAAATTTGTACTAGTTCATAAGACAAAGAAACAGGATGATATTTTCTATCAGTTAATTAAACCAATAAAGTATCAACTGAAAGAATAAAAGTGCAAACATTGCTATTTCTCCAGGCATCCTGAGAAACAAAACCTTGCATTACAAATACAACCAGATGAGAATATATCAGAGAGGGAATGCAACAGTTACACATCTCTGAATCTAGCTCAGGCAGGAAAAAGCTGAAGCTACTCCATATGATGGACACTGTAAAGCATCCAATGAACTTGATTTGCAAGCCACCAGATGCCTTGCATTGTAACATGAAATTAAAAGCAGGGATTCCAGAACAGTGACTCCAACAACCTAATTATTAGCACCTTAACTGCATTCATTAGCTCAGCAGGTAGTCCTTCAGACAGACCATAAGGAAGTATGCTGCACCATAATGAGAGAATATTTCAGTCCTTCAGTCTAAATCCTGAGTGCTCTTACTCCTTCTCTACACTTTGAAACTCAGATTACAGTTTTTTTAATTAGACCCAAATTTCTATACAGTATCTCGGGCTGCCCTTGGTGGTCAAACACTGTAACAAACACTCCTTTAATAACAATTTCTTCAAACTCTAAATGATACTCATGTCACACACATCTCAGACAAGTACCATCCTTTTCAATCAACACAGAAGGATTGAAACAAGACATTTTCTTATTCATCAGCTTCTACAAGTAGACTGTTCAAATTTGTTTGGTTGGTTTTGTTTTAGAAGGGGCCTATAAACACGTTTATCAGTCAGAATGCATATTTCTGATCTGCACTGCAACAGCTAGGAACAGATTTCTTACTTCAGACCTCCACCTGCTGCCTGGCTAGCAGCTTCTGTCATGAGATTCCACAGAACACACAGTTATCTAGAATTTTAACATACATTTAAAATTAAAGCGGTTCTGATAATTCTGTAATGACATAACAGACAACATAGAGTACAGATAAAGTCAGACTCAGTAAAAAGAAGAGACAACTGACAGAAAGGGATAAAAAGCACAAGATACACTAACCAACAACATTTTCAGCTCACCACACAGAATCTTCCCAATGCTTGCACTCATTAAGAAGATGTTGGTTTACAGCACCCACAATTAACTTACAGAGCAAGCACAAAGTCAACAGACAAAGAGAGGTCTGAATCTATGCTAAACACAAGCTATGCAGTTGCCTCAGCTTTTCTCAAATAAAAAGTGACTAACTCTACACATAGATGTGCATACACACTTGGCAGCCTCATCTAAATCAGCAATACTTTCCTGAAGGTTCCCACCTGTAAAAGCAAGGGCCAGAGAAAGTGCATAAACACAGTGCCGGAAACAGCTCATTTCTAAACCACTAGATCACCCAGACCTCACCCAATCATACCTGCTCCTATGTCCATCATTTGTTCTCTCCATTACTCCCACTACTAGAAACTGCTTCTGAGAGGGATATTTTAGGAAAAATACACACCAGCATAAGAAGCTTCTGAGTACATCTTTGCAGATAACCAACTTTTACACAGTTTTGTAGCTGTTCTACTTACTTCAAATTATTCTAAAATTTGAAGTGGTAGCCTAGATGTTAAAATAACTTGGAAAACACTATTTATGTGTAACCAAATGCTAAGCCTATAATGTGTTAATAAATGTACAACAGTGGACATTAGTATTGACTGCTACCACAATAAACAGTTTCCCAAGAAAGCATGTTCCAACAAAATGAAGAATCAATTTGGTTGCACAAACACATCAGAACACCCCAGGATATCCATAGCCTCAAAATAAAATGCTGAAAATTTCAGGAACACTTACATTGCCATGACTTGAAGATGATGTTCTTCCTGACATTGTTTTCTCTACTGGAAAAAAAATACAAAGAAAAAAAAAAAAGAAACTTAATAATTTCTGGTTTATTGATTAAGAGGCAAGTAGAACCACAGTAGTAGGCACTAAGAAAGAACAAGAAAATAATTTTTGAGCAATCTAGAACAAAAAAAAAAAACCCACATTCATAACATGGATCTGGTTGCCCAAAGCCTGACCTCGAAGGCTCCCAGGGATGGGGCATCCACTGCTTCTCTGGGCAACCTGTTCCAGTTTCACCATTTGTATTGTAAAAAATACTTCTTCCTTGTGTCCAATCTACACCTACCCTCTTTCAATTTATGACCATTCCATCTTGCCCTGTCACTACCGGCCTTGGTAACAAGCAATTGACAGCCATACACCTGAGCAAGGCTCTGGATTGTCAGTATAGACATTTTATTTATAAATTTTAATGAAATTGTCCTAGAATCTATTCTTAGTTAAGACATTGACTGATTAACTCCTTGCCGCAGGCACACAACTAATAAGAAGCTCACACTTAGACTATAGAGTGAAAAGGAGTAAAAGAGGACACCTGTACCACTGCAAGGGCTCCCAGAACAAGTAATAGACAAGGATTCCTGTTAAACCTACAAACTTCATCACTAGAAGAACGCAGCCTCAGAGATTCCAGCATTTATAGGTATTCTCTTGATACATATTCTATATGACACTAGCATAAGACCTTGAAAGATTACAGCTAGTTTGCAGTCTCTCGAGAAGCCAAGTTCGGGGACTTTTACTTATCTGGGAGTTTTTTTTCAGTTAGAGCCATAGTCCCCCAGGGTGGGGAAGGGACCGATAAAGAAAAGCCAAAGTAGTGCCTGTTCCGACGCCTGCGAGGAGGACGCGCGGAGGAACGGGGGCCGCCTGACAGCTCGGGGGAGCGGCACCGACCGAGCCCGGCCCGGCACTGGGCCCCGAGCTCCGGGCCCCGACTCCCCCCGCTGAGAAGGGAACAGCTTCCCTCTGACAAACCCGCAAATCCCGGCGAACTGAGCCAGCAATTCTACCCTTTCACACTATCTTCTCAGCCTTCTCCCAGAGGCGCAGCAACGCCGCCACCAGCCAGCCCTCCCTCCCTCCCTCCGCTCAACCGCGCTGCCGGCTCCGCTCGTTCGTGGCAGACACCGCGGCCCCCCCAAAACGCTGCCGGCCGGCTGCAGCCCTGCCCTCCCCCGCCGAAGGACCGGACAGGACCGAACGGCCCCGGTGTCAGCACCGGCACTCACCCTCACCGCCGGAGCTGTTTGCCGGAGCTGTTTGCCCGGGCCGGCCCCGCCGCCGCCGCCTGCGCAGCTTCCCCGGCTACTTCCGGGCCGGGCACCGCCCCGCTGGGCCGTGCCGGAGCCGCCGCCTGCGGCCCCTCAGGCCCTCCGAGCTTTAACCTGCTCGGAATGAGCTCGGTACTGACTCGCTGAGAGCCACTAAAGGGCCGATAAACCGCATTGCTTGTAAAGGAGCAATAATGAACCCGGGCCGTCCCAGGTTTAAGTTGTACCGTGCTAATGATAGCCCCCTCAGCTGACACCAGACCCCGCCAAATTAATCAAATTAACGCCCTGCCCGGGGGGGATGCGCAGCCGGGGAGAGCCCTTATAACCCCGGCTGGCCGCAGTTTGCAGCTGCTGTCCTTAGAAATCCTTCTGCAGCCGAGGGGTAGAGGAAGATTCGTTGGCTGGGGGTTTTTTTTCAGGGTAGCTTCAGAATTGTAAGTTTTCCTTTGCTTTGTTTCTTCTTGGTCGTGGGAATTAAAGCTGGTATGGACGAATATTTCGTTTCATACTCGAGGTTTAGCTGTAGCTAACTCTCAGGTGTGAATTACAAACGTGAGAGGCTAGTTTGTAACTTGGAACTACTGGAGCGCTTTAGGTCGCCCCAAACCATCAGCTAGTGACAGATCTTGTAGATATACTCCCCAGTACTTGAAGTAATGAAAACTGAAACCATGATTGGGTTTATTTTTTTTCATGCAGAGGACTTGTCTACACTCCCAGAGTGAAAAAGATTTCCATCTATGATGATGACAGATTTTACAGAAGAGCATACGGTAATATTGGGCTTAACTAGAATGGAGTGGTTTTAAATGGAAAACAAAGTAATCTTTATGGATCTTATGTAGTACTTATTCTGCATTGGTATTTACAATATGCCAAATGCTGCAACAAGCACCAGCTGAATTTACATCTGAAGCACATTAGAATCTGAATAGAAAAGTGGGAGGAAGTGAAAGAGGGATTATTTTTCCCCAAAAGCAAATTTTTAAAACTAAAGTAGCAATTGTAAAGGCTGCCAGCATTTACAACCTTGAATATTGCATTTATGTACAGACAATGAAGTAGAAACAGCTATCAATGCTGATTTAGAATGCAGACTTACAACAAAGAAGTGCATGTGTTATGCAGCTGTATCTTTAACCTTTAATTGCTACTTTTTAATTCTATAATTAATTGTGTTCCTACAATAAAATCAGTTCTCTGGACTAATAAGTATATAATTCTAAGCTACTATTTAAGTAAACTCCAAAATTATAACCTATCATTAATTGCCTCAAAACTTCTCATTTTCCATCCTGAAGGCAATTTTAGGAAGGAAAGTCATATGTGCACTTTATGTAAAACTGTGTTTGTTTATGCTTCCTGAAATCTTCAGCAACCCCTCACAATGCTTTGTAAAGTAGATGTTCAGGGTTTAATTTGGAATCACACATCCTTGTTTTAGAACTGAAAAAACAATGTTGCTGTTAGTAGCTGCATTAAAAGAATAGTAACCTCCTGTTCAGAGTATGCTGAGAAATTAGTCTCTCCAATCTTTTAGGGGTGAGGGGGGAAAGGGACTGAGAGGTGGTCCCCAGCATGCCACTCCAAGGAAGCTGCACCTGCCTATTCCTAATTCTTACAGAAAGCTTTCTGCCTTTCTTCAAATGCATCTTTCCTTAAAATATGCCCATTTTTCTCCCACTTTGTCTCATGGGAACAACAACTGGAATATGAGTAGCTTCTTTCCCACTGAGTATTATCTCTTTTGCATTAATTGCCCATTAATGGGCAATTTCAGTAGTACAGCAGACTGTTTTCCCATCTCCTTTGTGTCTTTCATGCCTTCCTGCAGAATGAAAAAATCATAGATGAATGGGTGCCCTTGCATTTTCTTTGCGTTGTTTCCATTTCAGGAAACTGGCAAGAGAGTAATAAATGGATTATATATCATAGCATATGATTTTTCCCCTTTTTCTATGTGTACTGATTAACCCTAACCCTAAAAAAGGAGAAGGCATAATTTTCTAGCCTGCTTTCTGTTATTTACAAGACAGGAATGACCATGAAGAGAGGACTTAATAACACTGGCCCAGTGGAGATTACTCAAAAAGAAAATACATATGGTCTTTTATGTGTTGAAAAGCAAAAATGTTTTAGTTTGGTTTTGTTTGGGGTGTTTTTTTTGTTTGTTTGTTTTAATTTAGGAGTGTAAGAAATAATTTTGCTAAGCACGTCAAGGAAACTTGTATTCCTTGAAAGATTTGGGTTCCAAGTCAAGTCGCTTACATGAAAATATTCAGATCACTTTTTGTCCTAGTAATTGGTTTTATCAAATGGTACAATGACTTTTAACATAGAATGTAATTCACTGTGTTCTATAAAACTTCTTTTAGTTCAGCAAGAAAAACGTAAAGGTATACAGTCTAACTTGCCAAATGTTACTTGATTCAGACCGTTTGCAGGAAAAAAATATTACTGTATCAGGACTAACTCCTGTAAAGGTAGGATTCTGACCACATCAAAGGTTATACCCTGTTTGCTGCTCTACAGCCAGTGATAGTCAGTAGTAGATTGAAGAATTACTAGGAAAATAGAAGGTTATGCTAAACTTAATTTTTCAGCTGCTCAAAAATCGCTTTCTGGTGTAATTCATTTCAGTCATTAGAGATAATCTAAACTTGGAGATCTCAGTCCAACCTCATGATAGTTTGCTGCCTGGACTTTGTTTTCTCCTGCTCCTGGATCACAGTGGCTACTTTATTCTGTCATCCATTCCTCTGTTTTCATGTGGCAAGTTCTTGCAAGGACGAATGACTAATTAGAGTGATTAGCAGGAAGCAAACACATCATTATTATCTGTTCTAGTGCAGCTGAAGGTAGAAGAACATGGAGTGTATGCTGGTACACCAGCAACTGGAAGGTTTAAGTCCTTAGTAAACACAGCTTATTTTCTTTAAAAGCTCAGGATGCAGTTATGACACTTGGCCTATGTCCAGCTGCCTAGGCCTGTATTTCAAAGGTGGCCTTGAAACTCAGTGGAGTTCCAAGATAACGGCTAGGAGACAGCACAATAAAAGTTGTTCAAGTGAACAATGAACCATGTACATGTGTCTCCTTCTTAAAGCCCTTAATTCAAACTACCTTAAACAGATCTTTAAATAAACATGCTACTTAAAAATTTTTAACTACCAAACTGAAATAAGGCGTATTAAAGGCAGAGGAGTTACTGCTGTTGGAACTTTGCAAGTGACATCTCTAAGAGGTTTTAGAAGCAGCTGGTTTGCTATGCATTACCATTAAATACTCTGGTTCAACAGGTATTTAATTTGTAACAGCTTTTAAATCTAAATTCTAATGCAGGGAGGGGTGGGTAGACAGGTGTTGTGTGGAGGTCTATCACTACTTAAGAAGACAATAATAGTCTTCTTAATTTGTAGTGGTTACAAATACAGCGTGAACTCAGTTTGAGGAAACTAACAGAGGGTTCCAAGTATCAAGAGGAACTAAGATATGACTTCAATATAAAAGGGGAACTGAGGCACCTGGATACAAATGAGTCCTTTGTTTTCAATTACTACAAGAATGAACATGAGCAGAATCATGAACGTTACGAAGTTCTGGGACATTCTATTACCCAGTATGTTTATGAGCTCCTGGGAAGAGTCTGCATGCTGCAGAAGGTTTATATTCCTACTGATGCTACAGAGGATGAACCAAGAAGCTTCTTTTTCATGAGCAGGGATGCATTAACAAGTTCCTCTAGCCTAATTATCTTTCTTCAAGACCATGGAGCTTTTTGTGCTGGACAGTGGGGGCGACGGGCAATTGTCAGTGAGGGCTTGAAACATGGAACACAAATACCATTCATCAAAATGGCCCTGAAGAGCCACTGGGAAGTGATTGTACTGAACCCCAATGACAATTTCACTGATATGAAAACTGAAAAGGAGACATTTTCTGTCAGGCAGTCTGCCTGTTTGATCCCCAAAAGGGGCAGCAGCAGCCCCGAAGAGCACACCGTGTATGTATGGGATCATTTCATTGCAAGGAGTGCAGCCAGCAATGTGGCCTTCATTGCCCATGGCTATGGTGGGTTGGTGTTTGTTGATCTGCTGGTGCAGCGAAAACGTGAGGTGATGAATAAAGTGTACTCTGTGGCATTCATTGACTCCACACACAACATACAGCACCAGAGCAGACACGATCCAGAAATACAGGAATGGATACACAAAAACTGCCAAGAATGGGTGTCGAACAGCAAACCCCTAAACAAAACTGTGCGCTGTCTCATGAGAGTAAGTTGTCCTACTTTCTCTGCTGGAACAGAAAAGTATGGTTTAGCACCCTCCTGCTGCTTACAACCCATCTTTAAGTACTTGAAGAGCATGCTGAAAGCCAAGATCACAACAGCCTTGAGGAATTCACCTGTTGCAACCAGAAGCAGCACAAGGAAGAAGACAGGCAATTAATAAAGGTAACACTGGTTTGTTCTTGATAGTGATCTCTTCCTTTCATAAGTGCCTCTGCACGTTTCAGTCACTTAAGCACTTTCATCTCACTGTGGAGAAAATCACAGTTCTAAGTTTGAAGCTATGTTTGGTTTTGAGAAGTCTCCCCCTCCTGTTTGCACCAAAAACTCCTCTTTGGCTGTTGCATGTCCCAGCTAGGTGGTGACAGTGGTGGAGTGACGGTCCCCCTTTCGGGGCTCCACAGAATCCCAGCTACCAGAGGAGGTGCACACAGAACAAAGAGGCCACAGCAGCACTGGCTTGGGGTGGCACTGGGTTACTTTATTTGATGTTACACTCCCCGAGTCTTGGGGTCCCAGGCAATGAGCTGGGGGCAAGCAACAGCTGATACAGGGGAGCAGGTCTCAAGGGAGGATACAATGTTCAGCTAATCGGGAGAACTGGGGGTGGAACATAAGGGCAAAGGATACAAGAGAGGAAAACTGCTTCGGACTGGAGGGGTTAACAACTGGATGTGGGAGGAAAGGGTTTGAAACTTGGCAGAAAAGTAGCTAAGTAGCAAAGAAATAAACGGATACCTGGCTCAATTGAATAACAAAGACAAGTCTGTGTCACTCCAAAAGCAAGGGGGGAAAAGCCCAACAAACTACCAAACAACAAATCAAACAATTACCTGCAAAATAAAACCACACTGTAACATTTGGCAACTCGATTCATGACCTGCTGCTCACAAAAAAGATGCATTGCACAATGAGCATTAGAACCAAAAGTCCTACTAAAATATTAAACCCTATTTTTAGAAGCTCTTTCCACAATGGAGAAAGATCAAAAAATCCAACTACATCATCAATCCAAGATCCAGTGATCTCCCCAAGCTTTTTTATACTTTCCCCTATCTTTTTGATGTTCTCATGAATTGACTCTGAGTAATTTGTCAGGTTCATGCAGCACATTCCCTCAAATTCCTCACATCCACGTCCATGTGCCAGCAGCAGATAATTGATTGCTGCTCTATTTTGAAGAGTTGACCATCTCACACTGTCAATGTCTTTAAACATGTCACTCAGTGCAAGAGGGATGGATTGAGCATGTTTGCTCAACCAACAACCCATGTGGTCCAATTGAGTCAAGGCCACCCCCAACGTTGTCTGAGGTGCGAAAATTGCAATGGCAATTCTCCTTGCCTTGTCCCAAGTGTTTACCTCACCATCACAATTTGGACTATACTGTTCCAATGATCTTTTCTCTTTACGTTTTTGCTCTTTCAATGATTTCAAATCAGTTGACAACAATGAAATTCTTCCAATGCTGCATGGACCGCCTTTGACATTTGCAGGGATGCCATGCCAAATTCTGTCCCCCCAAATTCTGTCCCCTGTGGCAATTGTGCTGGAACTTGGAGCAATGCTTTGGTCATCGTCTTGGTATATTTGCACCAAGCCGATGCATTTTTGTGAAAGGCATGATCTGGAGTGACATCAATGGTCCTATTTTTTGCTTTTGTCACATCCGAAATTTTGAAACTCATGCAAAGTTCCATTGTTGTGGACCCAAAAATTTCCAATTCCTGAGGTTCAGATGAAGCTGCAGGAAAGAGTTTTGTCCAAGAACACCACTCATTCACAGGATCCATAATGACCTGTGAGACTTTTACAGGAGTGTGTTTTGGAACCAGCCATTCGTCCGCTGGCAATCCAACCATGCATGTTGAAAATGGTCTTCCTGGCCTTAAGTGTATCAAGCAAATGCTGTCTAGATTTGCTGCCTGAGCCAAAGCTTTCCAAACGTTCTGTTTTGGTTGGACAATGGGCAAATCCGCCCCATTGTTTAAAGAAATAGGTGGAAGAATGAGCACACAAGCATTACGAAGCTCATGGCTTCACCCTTGGTGAGAAGCTTTGCCATGTTTTTGACACCCAAACCCCAAAAGAAACCCCCAAGTCCTTGTTCTTTTATGTCTTTTCTGAGTCGATGTCTGGAGTCTGGTTCTCTTCCGTCTGTGTGCTCACTTCTCTGTTTCCGGGATCAGTGTCTTCTTGCTCTCGAGTCCGAAATGGCTTCACGTGTCACGCCGACACCCACTTCAGACCTCGCCCTGTGGAATGTTGTAATCTTCGCCGCAGTGTTGTTCTTGCCTCTCTGCTGGGGCTCTTCTCCATTCTCTGCAGCACAGTCCTTCCTGTCTTCTCTGGGGCTCCTCCTGGGCTCTCGACCCACCCCTATTTATTTCAGTTGCCTTCATGAGCTACAGCTGCTGCCCAACTAAGGACCCTGCAGCTGCAGCTCATTTGGAGGAACTCGGACCCACACAGGTCTCACAATACAACATATACTCAGGCCCCCACATTGACACACACAGATCTTACAATACAACATACATTCAGGCCCCCACA